TGATATCACAGCTTCTTGTGGACAAAAGCCTGCCAATGCACGTGTTGTTAATGGTGAAGACGCCACACCTCACGCCTGGCCCTGGCAGATCTCTCTACGGGTTAATGGCCAACACATCTGCGGTGGATCGTTATTCAAGAATGACTGGGTTATCACTGCAGCTCATTGTGTGGCTAACAATCCAAGTCCTAGTGAATACACCGTTGTTGTAGGTATGTGTGCAGTAACATATGTACCTACTACTTGTTTTTACCCATTCTTTTGTTATTTCAAGTTTGTCCTTTATATGGCGTAGGTTAACGAATGCTGCTAAAGCACCTATGTTATAAAAACAAACAAACAAACAAGCAAACAAACAAACAAATAAAAAATTCTGACGAAATACCTTTTTGAACCGATGTCCATTTCCATTCGATATCGATCGTATTCCGCATTCTACCCCACCTTCCTATGATTTTACAAGTATTATCAAAATTTCTGGATATTTTTTTCTGGACACAGCGTATATTTAAGAGAAACTCGACTTTTGTGGTTTGTCCTCACAAGGAAGGATCTTACCTTCTTTTTGCGTTCCTTGTCTTCCTTCCGTACGTTATTCGTTACTTTGTCACGATCTTTTAGGAGCCCACGATAGATATGGCACAACGACTTTCCAGAAAATATTTAATCTTCGCAAGGTAATCCAACATGAAGAGTTTAGCATGAGTCACCTGAAAAATGACATCGCCCTACTTCAATTGAGTGGGTCTGTTACTACAAGCGATGAGGTGAACGTTGTTTGTCTCCCACAAAAAGGATCGAAAGCACAAATTGGCAAGAATTGCTACATCACAGGTTAGTATTCTAAATAGCTAGATTTGTTAAAAGATGATAATAAATGTGAAATAATTGAGGAGATGACACTGTCTTTGTTGGATTATTACACTTCTAGGAGAAGAAAAAGAAAAAGAATTAAGTTAGCGTTTTTTAAATGTCTTTTATTTCTTAATTAATGCAGTATAACATCACAATTTTGCTATATATCCAATGACAATAACAATACACTTATAAATGGCAAACTCCCTTTCTAGCAAAGATACTTTTCCTTTCATACACAATCTTTACAACTTATAACTGATTCCATTTTTTTTGTTTGTTGTGATGAAAATCGGTTTTAGAATTATATAATTTTTTTCATACTTTTTTAAGGCTTAAAAACCTTTTAAGTTTTAAGATTTAGTCCGAAAATTATGCCGATATTTCACTGTATATAAATTTGTTATTTCACAGGCTGGGGTCGTACAATGGGTGGGGGAAGCTTAGCTGGTCCTCTTCAACAAGCAATTCTTCCCGTCGCCTCTCATAGCCATTGTAACAGTGTGAATGGACAACTACTTCCAGTCGACCAAAACTCCATGATCTGCGCTGGAGGASAGGGCAAGGGTGGTTGTCAAGGAGACAGTGGAGGACCGTTCGTGTGTAACGAAGGTGGTAGCTGGGTGTTGCGGTGGTGCTGTCAGCTGGGGACATAGCATGTGCCGTACTGACCACTACACAGTGTTTGCACGTGTTAGCAACTTCATTGATTGGATTAACAGTAAGATGTCTGGTAAGATAAATTATTTGATACTGACGAAGTAGATGTAACACGAGTCAAATGGCTTCACACTCGGGGCCTTTTATCAAGAAAATTATCAGCGACTTCATGTGAATCAGAGACGGATCGATTTATACATTTTTTGGGGACTGGGACTTCTGTGTTGTCTAGTAATTGATTGCAAATTCAAAGAGTTCGAACATCGGCGCTGTTGGTAAAATGTGTTTATATTCCATTCTATTATTGACCCAATATTAAAGAGAACAAGTTTTGACTGATTTTTGGGTACCGATTTTTGGGACATTCGGTTGAATTTGAAGCAGTTTTCTTCTTTCGAATGAGTTTGTACTGGTTTTGTCACTGGCGGATGTTTTGTCTAAAGACGGTGTTGTAATGCACCTTTATGAAGAGTAAAAATTAAAAAAAAAATGATCAAGTTTACCAAAACATTCAGTTTATTCAATGCTCAAAACAATTTCTTTTAGTTGAATAGCTAAATCGCTCTTCCACCACTGTACGCTAAATGTATGAATACTCAAATAAAATTTAGTATCCACCTTGCCGTTCGGTTAGTACTTCATGTAAGCAGGCTGGTTCATTCGACCCGACGGTAGTCCGAATGCACAGCCCGAACACTAGAAACTTATATATACATTTTTTATATTCTGGCCGAAAGTACCTCGAGTACTTCCGATTCACCGAAGATTGGAAGGAAAGTAACCGATGGTTTAATCGCTAGAACTAGGGTCATTGCTCGTGTGTTCGATGTCATTTTCTGTGTTTTCTCGCTGAGCAGAAGTACATAACCAGAAGTGTCAATCTCGTCACCATCAGATGTCCCGATAATCCGATAATCTATTTTTTGACAATCAATCACAACGCGCTCACTTTTCCCGTTTTCACAGACCATACTGCTCTTGAACTACTCCCTTGCCACGAAGAATTAGGAAGTTGTCCTTCAGTAGCATTATATTATTTTTGATTAAAATGACTGATGAGGGCCGCCGTTACACTACTGTTCAAAAATCAAATAGGTTTTAACGAGCTTTCGCCGAATGCCGACTAACTAGACATCATCAAGACACGAACTTTCGCTACATTGCTTATATAGTAAGGTATGTTTTCTATCAAATTCAGAAATGTTGTTTTTTTCGAAAAAAGGTATAAAATTATCGTAATGCACGTTTCACTTCGTTCGACTCCTCTACGAATTTTCTTCCTTGTCTCTTATTGAAGTAGTATATCAACAAACACCAATCAGGTACCGTGTTATATGTGCGCGTGATGTGATTGGTTGTCTAAAAATAGATTATCGAGATATTCGATGGTGACGATATTACTAGCGAGATGGCCACTTCTGGTTATGTACTTCTGCGCTTAGTCAATTCAGTCTTCAGGTAGTACGGTGAAAAATAAAATGCTCTCTAAAATGAATATTTGAAACCGTTGACAATTTTATGCCATTGTTTTCAGTGATGGCGACGATGTTTCACTTACTGCGGTTCAGAATGGCTGAATTATCTATGCTATTAAAATTCTTATTCTCATTACAGGAGGTGACGGAGGAGGTGGCGGAGGAGGAGGTGAAGTCCTAGTCTATATAAATAGAGCTTATATAGTTCTATAGCCGAATTATACAACACAACGTCTGACAATCAGCAGGTCCAAGTCGTCTTTACAACATGGAGACATTTGTTGTAGAGATGCAGAGGTTCAAAATAATCGTTTAATAGCCATGTCGTAAGAGTCATTGGGAAGGTTTAATACGATGGTTTTGAGCAAAAAAAAATGTACCGTTTAACTCGACCTTGATAGATCTCATGCGCTGAGTAATTGCTATTCAATATCAAACCACTTTATGCTGATATTTCGATGTATTCATAGTTTGCCAAGACAACAATCAGTACTGCCCTTATTGGAAAAGTTACTGCGGCTGGCATGACTACGTCATCGCAAACTGTATGATGACTTGCGGAAACTGCTAGTGTGAGTATTGTCATGAAATATAACTACAATGAATAATGTACATTTATAGGTTAAACAAGTTCTTCAAAGAAAAGTAATGTTTGTTAGTAATTATTTAGTGATCAATTAACATTAATAATGCATTTGGTTTTATTTTCCGCAGAATTCACTAATTTAAAAAGCAACCACGAAGTTTGACCGCGTAAATTTCTTTGAACCTAGTATAAAATATAATAGAGTAAACTCTACTTTACATTTGGTGTTTCAATTTTGAATAGTGAAACAAGCAAAATGTAATTGTTTGTGTTATAAGTTAATAAACTATCATTGTCTATGGAATTTGTTTTTTTTCCTTTTAGAACAACATCGACCTTAAAGTAGTAATTTCTCTTTCCTGCTTGCCTGGAATCTATACTTAAACCTTAGCATGTTTATACATCTTTTGAAGCTTATCGATGCTGATTTGCTAAGAGGAGGAAAGTTAATGCAGAATCGATGATCATGTTAGGGATTGCAATAATAGACCATGGTCAGTATGGTTCATGCTCTGCACAAGTCCCCTTATGAATTTCTGATAGTGCAAATACGAAGCTAAAAAAAATTCCAAAACTAGATGGCAGCAAAAGTCAAAATCGGAAATCTTTTCTCAGACTTAAAGCCATTTTTTTAATTGTACCTTAAAGGGTGCAATCATTGTATTCTTCAAACGATTATAGTTGTTGAAACTTTTTTGGCCGTCGCTATGATTACGAAATCAACAGAACGTTTTGATATCTTTTTTTAACGGATAATCGCTGAAACCCAGTCCGGTTCATTACCAGCGTCACAAAATAGCATTCGAGGCCTCTTGTATTTTGTCCACTAATGCTTGAAAACAGCTCAATGTTTAATATTTTTTCCCCGTCAAAACCTTTCTGTGTTGTTAACAAGCGACTGATGTGAACAAACGCGTGGAATTTCGACTATTAGAAGATTATTTAGCTCACATTTTAGATTGTTTCTTGCTTTTTTCCTAGTACAACTCTAATTTTAAAAACGTATTTTTAAGTGGCTCTCCCTGTTTTCCTGACAATTCTTCCCATATAGGGGAAAATTAGAATGATTTGAGTGCACGACGAAACACCGAATTACAAGCGCTTTGAATGTCCAAATTTTGGTTTGAACCAGGATTAAGTGCGGGATGGCGCGTCTTGAGACCTGAAATAGGTGTTGCATTCAAGACGCTCTTTAGAGAAAGGACAGTTGTTTTCGAGACAATTTAGTCCATTTATATACTGATGTACTCTGCGAACAGATCTACTTTTCTCACCCGCCGAGAAATCGAGAGAAAAATAGCTCTACCTACTACCTCCAATTATTATCCCGTTGAGCATGCGTGAGTGTGACGTAGCATGAAGTATGTCAAAGGTTGATCATTTTGTAATCGCGTGATCGACTTCTCCCTTGGCCGGTTGGATCATTTTGACATAATTGAGAAAATAGAGCGTTGAGTTGATGTTTTGATAGTTTTTGTATGTTTACATCTAGTTTCTTCAAGCAAATGTTAAAGTGCACATGACACCTTTTTGAAATTCACTTTTAACCAAAAGGTAACACGCTGCCAAGAACTTCTGTGAAGAAACAATTTGATTTTAAATTGTATTTTCTAAGTTATGGGCAATTGAAACTTAGAAAATGCAAATTAAGTGACGTCTAATAAGGAATGATTTAATATACAAAATCATGAAAGAGGACGTTATTCTTTTTGTTACACTGGAAAAAGCATTTTCAGCTCTCAATTATTACTATGGTTAATGACTTGAGCTCTTCAACCAAGAACAGCATAGGCGCAAACAATGTAAAAAGTCTGGACCAATTCCTTAGTTGACGTCACTTCATTTGCATTTTCAATTTTCAAATGTCTATAACTCAGAATATACTATTCAAAATCAATTTCTTCCTTTACAGAAATGCTTGTCAGTGTGCTACCTTTCGGATAAAAGTGTTTTTCTAAACTCTTTGAGTTCTCGAGTAGAGAGATCTCTAGGCGCCATATTGAATTAGTCGGAGAGCCCACAATAAAAACCAGCGGTAATTCGCAAGGTGTTAATGACGTAGAAGCGAAAAGCGGTTGAAAACCATATTCAATGAATAGCCCATCATACATCCAGACGTTTGGGTGTAATAATCGGAAGTGTAGGCAGAGCTATTTTTCTCTCGCTTTCTCGACGGGTGAGAAAAGTAAATTTGTTCGCAGAGTAGTACTGCTAGGACATAAAAATCGTTGAAGAAGGTGACAAGATATTGCCTCAGTTCATAGGTCATGTAAGCCATTACACTATGCACAAAGTGTCAAGACCAGATCAATGTGATTTGCAGCACAACTTAGTATTTTTCAAGCTTACTATCTTTCAAGCGGCAAGACGTTTCAATTAATCTTGTTTTTTTTCTACACTGAAGCGGACTCTCGAACCAAGCTGTCACGCTAACCCACACAGCCCGAAAGATGAAGACCAAATTGAGATATATTTCGCTTTTTTTCTCCGCCATTTTCTTGATGTCTCTGAAGTTGGACTCCAGCATAGCGACTCAATAAATTCTTACTAGAAAAAACTCTCATGTTCGTTCGCCCATAACTACTAGAATAAACAACGTTTTTAATTTTAAATTTTCCCAAAGTGTGTAGATTTGATTACTTTCAGCAAGCTATAAATGTCTAAAAATCTGCTATTTGGAATTTTTTAATATCATGACGAACGATCAAAAAATAAAGCTTTTCCTAAGGGACAGGCTTTGTTAATGTAAACCCTAAAAAGACACAAAAAAAGTATACTGAAAGATGCGATTTAAGAAAAAAATAACAAAGTTACAAATTTCGATCATTTCTTGGTCGAGAAGATGATTTTTCCATGAAAGATAATATTAAGTTAATATTTTCCTAAAAATTAATTTATATCAACTCCTAAAAGAGAGTACGCGCGAGAATGTCTGATATTTTACAAAATCCCGCTCTCCCTTGGGGTTTTATGCTGTTGGCTGTAGTATTAAGGATATTGAATTTGAAAAACGCTTATTTCGGCCTTGCGAACCATAGGCAATTTGATTATTTAGCAATCAAACCTTCACCCTTGTTTGCTTGTTGTGCTTTTGACAACAAAACTTGTCAGACAGCCACGTCTCATTCACAAACAGAAAACTGAGATGTAACATCAGATAGAATATACGTATGGAGTCAGTGATAAATKTTCAAYACAGCTAAWWAMSKWAAGATAACAGTTTGTGCCAAAAACATTGCAATATTTCGAAAACAACATTCGATTCACATTGGATTCACACAGTAGTTCATGTTGACAAATTCACTCGTGTTAAGCATATGACGTCAAAACTCGATACCAGCCCTTAACGGCCTTCATCTTCCAAAATGGCTGCCGGTTAATGGCGGATCGAAAATCGACGACAATAATGGCAAATTTCAACATGTTCTCTTCATCTAAAATGTAAAATACCTCATTTATGGTATTATTACTAGTATAAACTAGCAAAAACTAAAAACAACGCCTATCCTCGGATCTCATCGTACCCGCACTTTAAGTATCCCTCTCACTCTCTAACGTTTCCTTTTAAGTTTCCTACCGGAGATTACGGCCTTTGTGCCCGCTCCACACCATCAGTTAACCCTTTAACGTCCGCGATTTGTTTTTGATTTAAGGTTAGTTTTTAAACATTTAAAAATATCAAATGTACCCCATATAAGGAGTTGTCAATCAAATTATTGCAGATTCATGGGTTCGAATCCCAGAGAGGTCGGAAATTAATTTTTCCGAAATTATTCCTAAGGATCTTTCTCCCGGAATTGCCTCCTTCCAAGCAGTATAACTTTCTTTCATTTCTATATTTTTCCTCTGAGTTTGTTTACTTCAACGACGCCCGGCGAATTTGAGACCGCTCGCCAAATTAGCCGGCACTCGCTCTCAAATTCGCCACAAAACAGTTTTTAAATGTTTTTTTTTTGATAGTCATTTGCTGCAACAAAGGGCCCTAGGATTGCATTTTAAAGGTCGAATAGGCAGCAGAGAAACTCTTCTGGAAGAAATCAGAAGCGGGAATCGATTTTTCGAAGACAATGTCGCCAATGCCAAGCTAGCTTTGAATTGCCGACGTTGGAGTAAGGTCAGGTTAATCCAAAAAATGCAATCGGTGCAATATTTTGCATGTAGGTGCGAGTGGCTTGACACTTAAAAAAAGATCTATGAAAACAAGAAAGTTTTTTGCTCACTGTCGAGTTTTTAACCTCATTCCAATGATGCAAATCGGCAGAGGAAATGATCGAGAAATTTGGGATTGCTGTGTTTGGTGTCGAAAAGCTGGAATGGCCAATAGGCGATATGCAATATGGCGTCAATTACTACAACTACCAGAATGCTTTGCCAAATTTCTTTTGTAATGCAATTAGTGCCAATTGTTTTATTAATCTCCAAGGGGATTAAAAATCTGAATAACAATGAAAATGCGCAAGGCTCTCTGGCAGTTGTAGTAAAGTTACGCCATAATGCAAACGGCCTGTTTCGAAAAAAACTTAGAATTTCGACTGGCAAAAGATCATTTCCACTCTAAAACTGAAGACGGAGAGACGTGAATCGTGTGCGCAACAAAGGAACAAAAAAAGGCATTCCTTTTTTTCTGGGGTCCTTTTTGCCAAGATATCGTGCTTGATGTGAAATCTTTTTAATTCTAAGACAGAGTTCTATTAATAGCTGTTGTCATGGAGTACATTTGGTGGTCTTCATTTGCGACCTCGGAATTTTTTTTGAGAAACATCGTTTCTACAGTACTGATAATCCCTAAAGCGGACGTTAAAGGATTAAATGCTTGTTTGAATTTTGTTTAAGATTCTCTTTGTGCTTGTTATTCATGTGAAAATGTAAAATTGAAATATTAAAAGAAGCATTTGCTACTTTGTCCGACAATCGTTTGAAAGTTACGCCTGTATGTACTCTATTAATGCTTAGCTTAGTTTGTCATTATCAATATATCAAACTTACAATACATGTCATTGAATGAGAGTGTATTTTTAACTGAAAAATGCATCAACGAGCAAACATTCTAATCTTCTTAATGCAGCAGGTTTCAGATGATCACATAAACTTTTAAAAGCTAACATCAAATTTAGCCTGGAGAAACATCCCAAACATTAAAGAATGATTTCTGTTTGATAGTATTTGTTTTTAAGCCATCATCACTTAAAGGTGTTTTATAATGCTATAATGGAGTTTAAATACTAATTAAAACTGTTGTCATGAAGTATAGTGGGAGATGCATAGCTGATTATACAACAAAAAAATATATAACGCGATTATAACACTTACCGATGTATAACGCTAATAATGTGGTGTTTAGTGATTGTTGCCCTTCTTGGGCCTACGCTGATAAACGGTACGTTTTACACATATACATATGAGAGGGTGCATCGCAAAAGGGGTCTTGTGTCTAGCGGGAAAATCCAGTCTTCCAAAAGACGCAATTAATTCACTCGCTGCATGACGGTCAATGGGCGTTGTTGTGCGTCTGCTCAGCATCGGTTGATTTGCGTCTTGCGTGCTGTGCATAGGCTAAGTTCAGGCCAAGATGAGAGGGTACGTCACAAAAGAGGTCTTGTGTAGAGCGGGAAAATCCAGTCTTCCACTAAAGACGCAATTGATTCACTCGATGCATCAAAGGGTCTTAATTCTTTAGACTCCTTTTGTGCTGTCCCTTCTCATATAAATATACCAAATTAAGAAAATTAATCAGGTACTAAAAGGTTACATCATTGTTAAGTCTAAAATACAAGTATTTTTTTGAACGAACACGAACTTAGAACATATATTGAAATTTTGTCTGCACACGACCGAAAATCTAAGCCAAAAATTTGGTGTCAATTTTGCTGTCGAAGGTGCGATATTTAATGAGTGTTTTGACAATTTATCGGTAAATTTTCTGCTTTATAACATATGAGCCGTTATTTAGAAAATAAATCCCTCGCGAACTTTATTAGTAACGTGTTGATTTCTAGACCTCGCGAGACTTTTTGAAATGTAATTTTTGAGAAATACATAGAACAGCAATATTAATAATAATGGTCTCTCTGTTTTCTTCAAATTAAAAGAATATAAATTCTAAATGATAGATTACCACTATGTAAGGTGCTGTGAGTACCTTAAATGGCACTGCTTTTCTATCTTGTTTGATATCACAGCTTCTTGTGGACAAAAGCCTGCCAATGCACGTGTTGTTAATGGTGAAGACGCCACACCTCACGCCTGGCCCTGGCAGATCTCTCTACGGGTTAATGGCCAACACATCTGCGGTGGATCGTTATTCAAGAATGACTGGGTTATCACTGCAGCTCATTGTGTGGCTA